CAAGAGCAAGAAGAAGTAGAATCCGGCGGCGCCGCCGAACAATGTATTGAGAATTCTGTGCGGTTCGCTTATCCCAAAGTAATTATTGCTTTCTCATCTCGTTGTCTTTCATTTGTACTATTAAGTTTACTTCAAATATTAACATATACACAACTACACGCATATGTACGCAGTAATATATGATTATGTATTTACAACTAACGAATAAATCGAACTTAGTATTTTAACAAGATAAAATATGACTGTTTGCCCGACACTAATGCTTTAAGAATTTGTTTTTTGAAGCTTTGGTCGGTGTAATGTGTTTTATGTGTGCGATGGAGGTATCGCTGGGTAAATCCTACAAACTACAATTTCGTCAAAGTATCCTGGTTTCTTGACAAAAGCTTAAAAAAATATACCTAGAATAAATCGATATCTTTCGTCAACTTTTCTATACGATTTATACATAATACATTTATAATTGTCTATCCCTTGAACTTGTTTTAAGCTACAGCTTTAAATTCTATTTAAACAGAAAATCTCACAGTTTGAATTTAAGGTATGGCGGGCTTTTTGTTCGGTTTAACTGCAGTACGTCCTTATTTAGCTCGTCTTGTGTTTGCCACTTGGCCACACTATTGCCCACTCATTCACTGCAGGCTGCAAAAATTATAGAACAAATTAAAAACGCAATAATAGAATCACCGCAGCAAATTCGACCCAATCACGGAGTCCAGTGCTCCGGAACCCAAACGAAAGCAATTAACCGTGTTCAACGTAGAGAATAGTTCGTGAAAGTGGGTGTATCCGTTGGCGAAAAGTGAGATACCCCTTTGTGTTTGTTTTTTGTTCGTTATAATTTTGTTTGTCGCACGTATTGGATTGCGATTTAATGGTAAGGAGGGGACTCGCTGCAGGGGTGCTCCCAAGTGATTTTCCATAACCAGCGCTGAGTGGACGGAAATGGCAATCGGCATCGCGAACATGTCGCCAGCAGCGTTGTCGCTGGTTTTCTTCGCTCTTCTGCAGACAGGTATGGATAATGGTGGAAGTGGGTGATGGTTAATGCATGGTGCAGAGTAGATATGATGGTGAAACCAACAAGCCCAGGAACGGTGCCACTAATGATTCCCATCCCACATTGCAGTTACCTGTTACACCGTCATCATCACCGCTCCCAAGCAAGCCCTCATCGGATCCACCATCAATATGTCCGCCCAGCTCTTCGATGGCGAAAAACCGGCTGCCGGGAGCAAGCCCTACAGGTTCACCTGGTCCGACAGTGCTGGTCATCGGAAGGTAACGATTCCACCTCCATTGCCCCACCCCATCCCCCTGCGAAACGTGTTTAAACAAAAAAAAGTTTCGAATGATGGTGACTAGACTAATTGCCTGCGAATGCAAATGCCAATATTGCAAGCGAGTCTACCAGACCAGAGTTTACGCCCTCAAACTTACCCATTAAACTGGTCAGGAGAACTAGTGCCAGGTGGTTCGCATGCCCACAACGCAGCTAAACAATATATAATTAATGCAAATAAGTCTTATTGCCAAAAGTTCTCGTTTTTGGTCAAAGGTGAACTTTTTAATATTTTTTTAATTTGGCGTTGATGATCATTACCAAATTTGAAATGTTCCAGAGTGTAATTTATTAGAGATTTAGATTAGAGATCCTAGAACTTTTTATTAATTATTTTAATATTAATTATTCTCCCTCCAGAAAAACGAAACTAAACTCGAAAACGATTGTTTATTTATATCAAGCAAACTTAAGACTAAAATCTATAGGTAAAATATTGAAAATTAAAATATTAATAATTTTACAGATCTGTATTTTTTTAAATGTCAAATGAAATCCGCACTGTTAATGATTCCAATTTGATCAAATTCATTCAAATTGTATTATTCGCGTTGCTATTTTACCAAACACGTTTAGATAGAGTTTAATACTACTGAATTCAATCGTCGTAAAATTTGTATCATGTCTGATAAGTAATTAGCCCTAATACTGTATTTTGAACACAAGAGCAAGAGCTTACATGTGCAAACAGACACCAACAATTCCCATTCTAATCTGAGCCATGTGGCTTCAATTGATATGGCGTCATTTGAATGGTAATTTTTACAATTACTATTCAGCGACATCTTTTCCGATTGTGCCTGGTACGTGGCCATGTCAGCGCTATTCGGTTGCTGCTTGCTATTGTGAACGAATTTGCATGCAGAGTGGCTTAAAACTACTACCAAATATACTAAACACTTCCTTTTGTCCCCGCAGACGATTGAAACGAACAATGCTACCAGCAATTGGTCTGTGGTGTATACGCAGGAGCAACCGGCCACGCATGTCATAAAGGTGGAAGTGGAGAAGTTCATCTCGTTTTTCTGGGTGACAGAGGCCAAGGCCTCGATTGGTATCAAGCTAGATAGCTTGCTAGTCGGCAGCTTGGAGCTGATTCAAAACAATGTGATGCGATCCCATGAGTTTGTATCCACCCAGGAGGCGGTGAATCACAGCGTATCACTTTCCGATGCGGACCTATTTTTTTTGCGGTCGAAGGGCTATCACATTCTGACGTATTGGTTTCAGAACTGCACATATCTCGGCATGTCCAGTTCGCTGGACTATGTAGCCACATACCCAAAAGCTGAGCAATACTATGATATGGAGGCATTAGTGGTGGCTTCACTTGAACTTCCGCCGGAGCCGACGCCCTCAACTACGACCACTACAACAACAACTACCACCACCACTACGACGACGACGACGACAACAACCACATCTACAACTCCAGCAACTACAACAACACCTGCCACAACGACCACTCCAAAAACCACAACATCGTCCACAACTACAAAGGCCACAACTCCGAAGCCGCCGGCACGATCCAAACGCGATGTAGCCCAGATCATGCATGCCAACGCTGCTCTTCTCGGCTTTAACTTAACCAGTGCGCTAAAGCAGCAGAAGGCTTCCGTAGGGAATGTGTCAGTGGCTCTGGTCAATCCGCTAGGAGTGCGAAGGCTTTCCAAGCTCACTTTGGTGCCTGGCCTTCAACCGCCTTTCAATTGCGTGAACAAAAAGTTCGTGGCCCAGGATCCCAAGCAGATATACGGCTACTTCCAGCAACGGGTTGTGTCCAAGGGTAGGTTTATTTAATGAGTTGTATGTGCTATTTTCTAAATTTCAAATATGAAAACTCTTTAGATCCCATAACCGGTTTCGGCACCACGGGGAAGAACTGGCTTCAACACTGGGAGGTTCTTCAGCTCAATGTGAACTGCAAAGGATCCCCGCCGTTTGAGCTTTGCACTCAAGTCTTCACTGGTGAGTGGCATTGTCATAGTTTAATGCTACTTGTCATAATGACTGTCTTTTTCTTGCAGCTCCTTACAACTCCACCGGCAATGAGACCTGCGACCAGTATGAACCGATAGAGAACTGTTCATATGAGTATAAGCGTTACTTCAGTGAAAGTAAGACTATTCTGTTCTTCATACGCAATGAGGTCTCCCAAACACTTAATCAGGTTACCATAAACATGTATGAAGGTGGGTAAAACGAAGTTAATTTTCATTTAATTCTTTACAATTGATTGTTTTTTGACTACGCAGCTCAGCGACAATCTCAGCTTTCAGTTGTAGTTGTGCCCGTAAGCTGCACTTTGGTGGCGGTGATTCTTGTTGTTTTCGGCGTGGCCTATTATATTCAACGTGGAAATCGGTAAGCACTGTCAAATTACCAATGAAATCGCTTTCAACCACTTCTTCCGCTTCACAGCTTCAATGTTGAAGTGGCCGATTTCAATTTTGGCGACACGCAGTCGGTGGACATGGAGTACAAGACATTCCCGCAGCGCTTAATCGACAGCATCCGCGATGCGTGCACGTGGCCGGGTCAGCGGCGTCACTCGCAGTCCAGCGCAGATCTCATGGCGGACCAGGAGCAACCGCCCAGTCCGAGCTTTGCAGGCAATGTAGGCGATGTAGATAGCAATTTGCGCTACAACACTTTCAACTAGGTTCTTGAGGGATTCGGTTAGAAAGCAGTTGCCTATGCAAAATATTCATTTAATTTAATTTTGGCGCCCAAGTTTTGAAGACCTGCTCCCTGGTAAAATCCATAGCGATTGTATAGTCTTGATTTCACTAAACTTGATCGGACTGGAAGGCGGGATCGGTTAGGTGTGATAGTTATATTTGTTATTATTTCTATGTGCACTGTATGTGCTTTAGTCATTTTCTTATTGTACACCCGCACCTTGGGGACGGCCTGCTCCCCACATGTACATGTAAAGAGATGATATAAACTTTTTTACGTTTCCAAATTCTTTATATCCCCTTACGTTACCATTGTAATCATCTCTTTTCAACATTACGCACACACTTGCTCATCAATGGCCAAAATGTGGAGTAAAAAGCACCTATTGAACCGCAATGTTCAGGGTGTGCAGCAAGGTTTGGGAACGCAACTGCAGATCCCATTGGATATTGATAAAGACTGTCTTTGTTCTAAAAGCAAAAATAAATCTGGGTGAATTTACACCTAACTTATGCGTGGCGACTTGTTCGTCAAGAGTTAGATGCTAGCATAAGTCAATTTGATTGTATTCCTTGTATCGTGATCGAATTCTTTGACAAAGACAAACCCATCTCACACTTAACATGCGCGACACAAATATTCATTGTGATAGAAATAGAACAAACAGTATGTATGTATGTACGATTACCAAAACGAAAAGTTTGAAGAAAACCCGTATACTTATAAAGCTAAAAGCTGTGTTTTTCTTTAACTGCATTACAAATGGGAAGGTGCTTCGATGTTTTTATCGATTTTGGAAAAGATTAGGCCGAATATTTCAAAATTATTTGTTGTGCCTAAGCAAAGGTATTCTATTGGATTTAAACAATATTGAGTTTCTTTCTTTGAAGGGATTTTCTACCAAATATTTCCAAAACGATCAAGAAATTACTTTAAAAATGTCGCGCCCTAAATTTGAACTCAGCTAATTGTGTAAATGACATTCTTGAAGAATTCTGATTTTCTTGTTAGTGCGATCTGGTAACACAAAAAAAAAAAACAGATGTCCCAAGAAGTTGGAGGATAATTAATAATGTTTTTAAATGACATAGGCCAGCCCTTAATACTGGAAAAGGGAAAAGCTTATAGCTCTTATGAGGAGGTGCGTATACACTATATAATATTTAGTATACTATATTCACTACCATTTTGCTGTCCAGCACTGTGGAGCGTTGCTCTTTTCATCAGCCGCCTTAGGAGATTTAATTACTCCACAAAATTGGTGCAAACTAGCCGTAGGGTCGCAGCTGGACATCTTACGGCTGCAATCCCAAAAATCTTTTTCAGAAAGCTGCACATTTAAAACCCTGCTTCCCAATAAACCTACCCGAATAGTGTACGATGGAAACGAGATTACAATCACATTGATACCTGCTGGAAGAAAGCAAAACGGCTTGGAGTGCCATCTGTTCTATATAGAAAGTTGGTACCCCTCTGTGTCTTTTGAGTCTGTTGGTAGTCTAACACCACTTATCTATTTGTAGACGGCCATACACGATATCTGATTGTGGACTGCCTATCAGGCTATCTGGATTTTTTGCCGAAGGCCTCTGATTGCTTTCACAAAGGGCTCCGTCTAGGAATCGACGTACTTTACGTAGACGAAGAGGTTTTGGTACAGAACCAAATCAACGAGGATCTCTACAGTTTGGTTGACCTGATTAGACCAAAGTTCATATACGGGTTAAGGCAGCGGGAACTGCCGAAGTGGCTACTCGATCTGCGTCGGATTGATGATAGAAATAAAAAGTATAGCGTACTTTCCGTACAAAATGATGCATTTAAGGTTTAAAACAAACGACCAGTTAACAGTCAAATAAAATCTAACTAAGACTACTTCCCGATTAACCCTTTGTCGCCTTGGCCTTGCTTTTGACCTTCTTCACCCGCTTCAGCCCGTCCATCTTGCTCTTCATGAACTGCGAGTACATGCCCATCATGGCGGGCACATCCTCCTGTCGGACAACGGTGGAAATCTGCAGGAAAGGTGGGTTTATTGGTTATCAGTCTATTGGTTAGAGGAGTGCTATCGGAGTTACCTTCTGAGATTTGGACTGGGCTCGGATCAGGCACATATAGGTATCCGGCTTGGGCAGCGGTGGCCGTCCTGCTCTTGGGACGGGCTTATCGTGGCCATCATCTACGGGACATAAATTATATTACAAATTTGTTTCCAAATAACCATGTTTTTCGGGATCGAACACTTACATCGCTTGAACGTCAACGTAAAGGAGGAGTCCTTCTTAGCCGCATTAGCGATCTTTTCCAGGCGCAGGATAAACTGAAAGGAAATACGAATATATCTTCTGTTATTTTGAAAGAATTTCATCTATTTACGTTCGAATTGTCCAGCAAAACCATTTCGTGGCAAATGAAACAGGCGAATCGAGGAAAGTGACACTGACAGCTATCGCGGTATTTTTTAGTACATTTTCTTGGCAATATGCAGGGCTGCATAGGATCTTTATTTTGTGGTTCATATAGTTTGAAAATTAATTAATTTAAATTAAATATACATTATTGAAGTTAAATATAATTGTCAAGCTTCTATACAAAATTAATACCAATTACCAATGCTTTAGGCAATTCCTTGCTGAGAGCTGTGCAATGGTATCGGAATAGCGATGGGGCCAGATCATGACGGCCGCTGACCCTGAACTATCGATACAATACTATCGATGCGACCATCGATGGTATGACAGCTCTAATTAGTTGAGAAAGCAGCAGCAAAAGGCCAGAAAAAATCGTAAAACTACGAAAACCTACAAGTGCGGGGCAACTGAGGAAGCTGTTGCACGAACATAGACACTCACGCACGCTCGCCGTACCGCAAACCGCACGCCACGCCCTCTTGCGCCCGCCCCCAAACTCCGGTCGAGCGGTACAGAGCGAAAAAAAGAAGCGCCCAGCAGCGGTGGTGCAAGTGAAGTAGGAAAATTCCAGCCGATTGAAACGAACGCCCGCGACCGCCAAAGGAAGCGCCGCCCTCGCCGTTAGTTCCGGAACACAGAGAACTAGCCTTCGCCACCTGGTTAACCCACATCCGCATAGCAGCCGCAGTCCCAGCCAGCGCCACAAACTCCGCAACATGGTGAGTGTTGCTGCCGGTGTCGGGCAGCGTAGGAAGGATGCAGTGCATCGCAGATGCTACTGCCATAGGTGCCGAGGCGCTTTTAATCCATGTGTACATATAGCCTTTGTGATTGCAATCGCAGAGAATATGACACAATAAAAAAGCGCCACTGAACTTTGACCGAATCGAATCGGATCGGATCGAATCAAATGCCTTACCCTCTCTTTCCCAGGACGTGTTCCTCATGATCAGGCGGCAAAAGACCACCATCTTCACGGACGCCAAGGAGAACACAACAGTGGCCGAGCTGAAGCGAATGATTGAGGGTAAGTGTTGGCTTCTATTTATAGAGCAGCGCCATCATTGGGTATCTCCATGACTGACCATACATCCCATCGATCGCAGGCATACTGAAGGTGCAGCCCGTGGATCAGCGGTTATACAATCAGGACAACGATGTCATGGAGGACGATAGCACGTTGCAGGACTACGGTGTGACGGTGTCCACGGCCAAGGCGCAGGCTCCGGCGCAGCTGGGTTTGACATTCAGGTGAGAGTCGCTGATAAGCCGGGTGCGGGTTATCTAGCGGACAAGGCGGGCGAGCAGCACGTGTACCGCTTACAGGCTTACAGCTCATCGTAGTACAACATAGGTTTTCACCTCTCTTTTAAGGAACGAGGTGGGCGACTTTGAGACACTGGACATGACACCCTACTCGGCACCACCAGACTTACCCGAAGTCATGAAAAACCAAGAGGCGTCGAACGGACAGGAGCAGGTTGCATAAGGAAGCAACAACAGCAGTCAGTCAGTCAATCACCCCTACGAGAACAACAAACAGCAGCAAACACATCATCAAAAGCAAAAGCAGCAGCAAAACGAGACAAACTAAATCCGCTAAAGCCAGAGACTCCCTACTACTGTCGCTCGCTTGTCCCCGCAAACGAAATGTATGAAATTGAAAGTCCAGACAAATGAGGAAGATCTATCTGCGATTTCCAACATCCAAGCATGGTGAAAAGCAAAAGCTGCAGTCGCAGCCGCAATAGCTAGATATGCATTTTTCGTTGTTAATAGCAAGGAACAATTAACTATGGTTCCAACACAAAATTGTACTTTGGAATGGGATTTATAATATTCGGCTTTAATTTTACCCTACCCCCACTTGATTGTTTCTTTTTAATGGAATTTATACGAATTTGTTGATAAAATACACAAAGTCATAAAAACAAATGTGCGAACTGAGCGAACGTGCAGAAATTTCAATACCGATCCGCTTGATCCTTCGTAAGCAGAGTGAATATTTAACTAATATTGGGATCTAATTATATTATAATTTATAATCAAATCATTATTTTTGTAATAATAAGATTTAATTATTATTAAAAACGAACGAAAAAACCCCCGTCCCTCTGCTAATCACTCTCGTCCAGGTCAGCCGTCATGGCAGCCACCTCGGCATCGTTGTCGTCCTCCGCTCCACTGTCCACAAAGGAGGCATTTCCGCTTTGTTGCAATTCCTGGTGCTCCAGGTACTCCTGCAGCCGATCCTGGAAGAAATTGATAAATGTTTGCTTTTGCAGCGCCGTGGCCGGGAAGTAGTGTCCACCGCTGTGCTCCAGCACTTCCGCGTTCTTGAAGTGCGCAGCCAGGGACTCGCTCATCTCCTTGGGAATTATCTCATCCGTCTGTCCGTAAATGTGAAGCGTAGGTATGCTGATGGCCTCTTCGTAGGCGCTCATGTGTACCAGACTGCCAGACAAGAAGCCCGAGGCTAGCACAGCAAACTCCGGCCGAATAGAGGTCACTGTGAGTGATAGTTTTCTCAAAACAATGGTTTTATTTTCAGATATATGAAAAAAAGACTTACACTTCTTTTTGGCCAAACCGCATATAAGGCCCACGAAACAGGCGCCCTGTGAGAAGCCCAGAAGTCCCTGAAAGGGACCCTGCGTCCGCCACGCCTCCTCCACGCAGCGCAGGCTCTCCTGAAAGCCGAAGGCGGGACCACCTTTGTTAGTTCCCTTGAAGGATCCATCGTCCTTGTTGGCCCACCAACTCCCATGCTCCGGCACAGGCTCCGCCGCCGACTCCAGTGCTTTGGCCACGTGCGGCGCTGTGATGAACACGAACTCCGCATACTTGTTGGCAAACTTTCGGAAGGATCCCAGCTTGTTTTTGAAGGCTTCTCCATTCTGGCGGTAACCGTGTAGGCACAGGACTCGCACTTTCTCGGTAATTTCCAGCTTTGGCTGCTGTTTGCTCCCGCTTGCCCGACTGGAGCCGGCTGTCTCCGCCGCCGCATTGTTGTTGGTCATCCTTTTGTAGGATTCTTGCTTTTATCAGAGAAACAATACAAAATAAACAAGGTTATGGCTACTTTTAATAGAGATGGTCGTCAGTCGATAACGAAAGCTTGAAACTTTGTGGCAGCACTAAGCTGAGGTAACGAACCAGGTGGCAACGCTATTCATAGAATGCCGCATTTTTTACGTAAATTTTATTTTCCGTAAATGCAACAAGTTCTCCGTTATTTTTTGTAATAGATTACAGCGTTAAGAAGCAGGATCGCCATTGAGATGATGATCTACACCACAACTCTAATGTCCTCGCGTGGCGGCCTCATCGGCTCGCTCATCAACAAAGTCAGGCAAGTTGTAGCCAAAGATAGGCCACCCAGTGCTCCATCTCGTGCCAATGACACCGACCACCGACCCCTCACACCCCCTAGGCCCCTTGCAGCCGCCAGCATCAGCAACACTCCGGTGGTGCCGTCGAAAACTCTGGAGGAACAAGTGGGCCTGCCGCCGCGACCAAGGAAACCATTGACTCCCTACTTTCGCTTCATGCGGGAGCAGCGGCCCAAACTGAAGGCTGTCAACCCCCAGATTTCCACCATCGAGGTGGTGCGCACGCTGTCCAAAAACTGGTCCGATGCTGATGCCCATCTGAAGGAGCGTCTGCAGGCCGAGTTTAAGCGGGACCAACAAATCTACCTGGAGCAGCGCACAAAGTACGATGCCGCACTTACTGACGAACAGCGGGCCGAGATCAAGCAGCTCAAGCAGGATATCGTTGACGCCAAGGAGCGCCGCCAGCTGCGCAAGCGGGTCAAGGAGCTGGGGCGCCCCAAAAAGCCCGCCTCAGCCTTCCTGCGATTCATAGCCAGCGAACGCACCAACACTCCGCAGGGAGCCGAGCAAACCTACCGCGAGTGGCATCAGAAGACCACCGCCAAGTGGAGTCGCCTCTCCGACTCCGAGAAGGAGGTCTACATGCAGGAGTCGCGCAAGGAGATGGAGCTGTACAGGTGCGTGGACGTCTCGGAATTGAATTTTAGTAATCGTTAACCGTAGATTATTTTTTGCATTTTGATTTGAAACTTAAATTTACCAAGAACTAGGTGCCATTTTATGTAAAAACTTCATATAATTATTTTATTTCTTTATTTGCATTATTTCTATACTCTTTTATAAACTTTGCAAAGTCCAAATGGGCTACAATAGGACTCTTTATGCCAGAATGTTCTTGCGTAAATTCTTATTTTTAACGCTTCTATATTTTGGCACCGGATTGGCTTCTAAAGTTTTGAATATCATGATCACGTGTTTTCCGTTTTTTCTCTCACTCTCATCTCATCTCTCACTCCCCAATGATAATATTAATGTATCTAAATTCTTTAAACATTATTTCCATCGTTAACTTTAAAATAATTTTTACATAACTATTGAACACAGTTTCTAAGACCCAACACCTTTTTTATGCGTTTTAGGAAAGCGATTTCCGTTTGGGAGGAGAAAATGATCCGCCTGGGCCACATCGACGTGGTGCGTCACGGCAATCTTATCGATCCACCTGAGCCAAAGCCGCGCAAGACGCTGGCCTCCAAAGAGAAATAGTAGCTGCTAGGACACGCCCTCTGCCATCACATATTTCATAATTCATGCATCATTCTGTTTTTCGATTTCTTTCTCTATCGCAAATGGTTAAGTTAGGGCATGAATGATTAAATGTTAGCCCGCATAAGTTTAAATTAAAACCCCGTGTTCCTGCTGTTAGTTTTACAAAGGGTATTTCTAGTAGTTTTCTGGACTATTCAAATAGTTTCAGCATTAAATAAATATTCAGCTTCTTGCAAAGTTGTGTACATATATGAAAATACATTTTTTTTTAAACTGATTAGAGAGCGATTGCATGTGCCCGTCATGGCCAATTTTGTGTTAAAATGACAGCCTTCGAATATCGCTTCTGCCGACACGTTGCATAGGGAGCAGACACGTGGCATCGGCTTCTTTTGGGTTCAAAGCGAGCTGGCCAAAAAGTGGAGTCTTTGGCAGCACGTGTCTGAGTCTTACGGGGTTAATATCACACTGGTTTTTAGTTGATTTAACACGGTAATCGACACAGTTTTAATCTCTCTGCGTAGATCACGGTAAACAAATATGCGATGGATTTGTCACCTCAAATGCGCAGATTACTAAGGTTCTAAGTACTGTCAAGCTTGGACTACAAGCGGGACTACAGTGAGGCCTAGGCCGTGGGACGGACACAACCGCTCGCTTCTCGGTTCAGTTTTCAAATGAACGAACCGTTCCGACTCGAAGCCGGAATACTGCTGGTGGTCAACCTGGAATGCTGGCGACTGGAATGATATTTCCGCTCTCCCTCTCTGCAAACGTACATTTGTAGTTATATCTCTCCGATCCGAATTTGTGCTGAGGTCGTTGAATTCGGCGCACAAGGCAGGCAACTAAAATTGATAACCGTTCGAGTGTTTAATCAGGGACGGATTTTGTAGTTTTTTGGATTAGTGGCCCCCTTAAAAGGCTCAAAATTGTTGGTACGAACTTGGAAGCTTGGACTGGGTCGAAGTACCTAATTTTAATTACAGAGAATTGCCTAAGAATTCGCTCAACTTCTGCATCATTTTTGAGTATTTTTGAAATAGTTTCTAATCTGTTTAAAAAAATGCATAAGAACGATGTATATTATCAGTAAGTAGTTCAATTATATATTTGTAGATAATTAGTACATTCCATATTTTAGACATATTCCTTCCTTCTCACATCTTCTTGGAATGCCTCTCACTCCAGTTTCGCTGGATTTCGAAACAGTTTCGGCTCTCTGGAATGCACAGGTATGTCAGGTAGTCTGCCTTCCAAGGGAGAAGGCAGTGTGCTGGCGAAAAGAGAGGCTTTGCCTTCCAGTAATCCCCTGACAGGTAGTCGAGTCACGACTTCCACAGAGATTTCCACAGTTCTCGTCACGCCGCTTGCACTTTTCCGCTGTAAGCAATTGAAAATGTTTTCACCCAATTTCGAGGCAATAGCTTAAATTTTCCCGCCTGGCATTGGCCAGAAAACACTTTGAAACGCCAACGACCGCCACATTCTTGGGCAAGAATCTGAGTTACCTCCGAGTTTTCTGGCCAAATACCACGTTCGGCAGCGGAATTGCGCAAGCCGTATTGGCGCAACCTTGGGCTACTCCAAAAGCCAAAAACTAACCACTTACACACGCACGCAAAAATACATTTTTGCAATAGAAAAATAACAAACGACTAGCGGGCACCCCCAGTCCAACTCCAAATTCGCCCAGCCAGGCCAATAAAATGTGGCCAAAATTCGGCAACTCGAATGACAAAAGTGCATTGGACACTTACTGAACAGGCAGCTGGCTGGGAAAACTGCTGCGCATGCGCACGATTAAGGCTATTAGATTAGTGATTTCCCAGTCTCTGGGTAAGTAAGTAGGCACTACAGTCGGTCCTCGCTTAAAATAACTGTCATTTTCGGAGTTCATTTTTATAATAATAAAATGGTAATCTCTGAGTTGGTTTGCCTACTATAAATATGTCGAGTTTTCTTTTTTTCTTTGAACAACTGAAAAACAAATATGTAGTTTGGATTATATGACAACACACGTAGTTAAGAAAGAAACAACGGAAATTAAAAATCCGATTGCCCTTCATAAATGGTTTAATTTCTTGAAAAGTAAAAAAAAACGAAGACTGGCGTCGGCTATTAACTATATTAAGTCTGTTGTTCCAATCTGCTAGTACTGAAATTTACCAAAAACAGGTCCGACTATAGTAAGATTCTCTATGCCGGGCAGCGAAGTGGAACCATTTATTAAGTGGTACACGTATCCGAGCGTGTATTGTCTCTAGTAGCCGTCTAATACTTGTTTCACTTTGTCTTCGGGTCCACCGCTCAGGTGGGCCCAATTTCAAAGCACTCGCGGACTCGTAGTCGGACTCGAACTCGGACCTCCCTCGATGGCTTCCAAGTGGAGGCCAACTGCTTTTCGGCGGCAATTGCGCCACAGAAGTTGAAATTTCGGTTAATATTTTTTCTGTTACGTATTTATTCATCGAATTTGGTTCTTTGCAAAAGTTGTAAAGTTTTCAAGTTGCTTAAACGAGATGCTACAAAACGTACATACATACACATACTGGTTATATTTATCGATCTTTGCCGGACGCGACATAAACCTAACACTTAGATGCTAGACGAATATTTACATATAGGTAAAGATAATAAGAATACGAATACGATGTACAGCTCAGGGGAGTTTTTCACAATAATTTAATACAATGGGTAATGACTCGCGATTGAGGGATTACTAATTTCGAAGGTCCCGAACATTTAGTGGTGTGATGTATGGTCGAATAAAATGCTGATAAAGTATAGATGCTGCTCTAGGGTTTCCTTTCTACCAGTCAGCCAACTCCGGCTGATAACAGTGATTTGTCTAAATCCATTTAAAGTCTCTCTGAAATTCCCTAACTGCTCGACAGTGTACAATTAGCTAATAACAAAACAAAGTACAAATGAATCACGCACAAGATAAAGCCAATCCTCCGGTCAGAGCTCCCTAGCCACGCTGCTTGCTGCTCCCACTGCTGCTGTGGCTATCCTCGGACGGAGGACGCACCCATCCGCCGTAGCGGCGCTCCATTTCACGGGCCACCGCCAGGCAGAGGTGATCCTGGCCCGGGTTGGCCACCACCTGGATCCCCATGGGCAGGTTGCGTCGGTCCAGACCGATCATGCAGTTGGTCACCGGCAGGCCAAGCGTGTTGAAAATGGCCATGTACATGGGCTCCAGGAGCTTGTGGTAGATCTGGTAGTGCTGGTGCGCCGTGTTGGGAAAGGTCGGGTAGAGGAAGACGCCATCGTTACCCAGCATCTCCTTGAATTCAGTCTTGAGCGCCTCGATGATGCTGGCCAGGTGCTTGTGGCGCGAGTTTGGGATGATTTTCATAAAGTTCTGCAAATGGCCAAAGATCACCGACGGAAGGATGCTGTCCGAGCATCCGAAGAAGTACTTGACCGTCTCCTTGCACACGGTCTTGGGCTGCTCGCCCTCCTCCGTCTTGTGGTAGATGGTCTCGATGTTCTTCATGGTCAGCATGGCGGACAGCGAGA